GGGGACCAAAACATAAACTGTCGTCTGTCGATCACTAGGTGTGGATTTAAATATAGTGGGGCATATTTTTACAATATGTTGCCACCAAAGACAGATCTAGACCTCTCACGCATTCGGCGAGAGTCTCACGCAATTCACTTCACTCTCACGCTCTCACGCCACGTTTAGTAAATCTCACGCATATAGCAGTTTCATAGTATTTTTTCAATAAATAAATATAATATTGTATTCTTAAATGCACATTATTAATCATTATACGGATCGCGAATCGGATATAAATCGCGTGTTATTTTTCCTGCATATATGGCCCGACATTTTGATTTTGGCTTTTGCCCGCAATTTGGATACAAAATAGTACGCATATGTAAATACGGCGCACAAAAGGCAGAATCAGTCGGAGCAGAATTCTATTTGTAAATTATCAAAGGCAAATTAAAGCTCATTACTGCATGTCAAAGAAATACAGTTATTGTAACTAAAGTGCCTTAATTGTCTTAATTCTTAAAGGACGTTATGAAGCAATGACGTATTTCATTAAAACCACCAAATCTCAGAATGTACGAAATGCCATTTCATAGAGGGCCCTGAAGCCTGAAGGGGTAAATTGGGAACTGGGATTGATCTATTTTTAGACTGGGAAAATGGGATTTAGGTTGCTGGGACTGTGCCGCTGGGAATGGAAAATGAAGTCCTCAAAAATGGGAATGGGATTGAGGTAATGCGAGTCGATTCCCAATTTTTATACGTTTTAAGTATTTTAAAATGGTGTATTTTAAGTACTTTGGCAGTGGCGTAGCGCTCATTGGTTAGGGTTAGTTCAAAAGCTAAGGGCCCCCAACAGTTAGGGGCCCCCATCAGCCACAGTCTATCGCCCAGAAAATTGGAAAACATACAAAATGCAGGTGAAGAATCAATGGGAAAATGCGAAATTAATGGTGCTACATAATAAAGCCTCCATCGACGACGCTAGCTGATTTTTTAATGCCATCTCAAATTAAACAAAAGTTATTCATAAAAGTTGTTACATGTGTTGGAGACTGTTATTGTTATTGTTATAGACACGGAATTTTCCAGAACATTCTATAAATATTCAATATAAATATAATTTTCTCATAATTTCTCACAGCACTACCTGCGAACAGGCATACTCTGGCACCCGGAATTCTGGGTTTTCTGATTATGCGTGTCTCAGAATGCTGCAACAAATGCCATTTCCAGGATTCAAATTTAAAATTTTCACGAACACCCCCCTCCCCCCAATATTTCATAAATGGTCCACCACTTGCACACACTGTGGCTTAAAAGGTCTTAAAACTGTTTATTCTAGCGATAAATAAAGAGTTTTTTATTGACTGGGATTTCAATAACTCGGACTGGGATTTCTAATAAAAATCCAACTGGGACTGGGATTTTGCAAAATTTCAGGTGGGAAATGGGATTGGGACCCCCTTCAGGACCCTCTTCAGACCCCCGGACTTTTACAAAGGTGTCATCCACATCCCCAATCTCACTCTTAACTTCTCTGCAAAGTTGAGAGGTCTGCAGTGAAAGATAAGATCTTCGAGTTCATTTCCTGCATTGTTTTTGGACATGTTTATAAATGACTCTTAGTATAGGACATTATTAATTATAATTAGTTGTACTTATAGATATATCGTGCAGCCTTACTTTGTTTTAATAATTTATGAAATTATGTATGTAATGTGAACGTGAATTGTCCTGTACAGATAGTTTAGTTAGTTTTAGAAGGTCCAGTGGAAGATTAGCTTTTGCTAAATTGGAAAATTTCTTGTAAATTAACCCTCTTTAAATAAAGTTTAAAAATAATAATAATAATAACTTCCGCAGTCATTCCGCACGGTATTCCGCACTTCCGTTCTACGCATGACCATGTGACATGGTGTAACCATGACAACAAATGTAACAATTTGAGATTTCCAAGATGGCGGTCGAGAGTGAGGAAGATGATGTCGTTATTCGCATGATAAACAGCGCATCTGCTCTACGTAGCGAAACCTTAGATCTTGGAGCTAAATGTATTTATGAAATACCCAACGAAATATTAAATTTAAAACATTTAGAGGTAGGTTTAAGCCATAGAATATGCTCAATTATCGACTTAGTGTTTAGTATATTTAAACGCTGTATACAAGCTCAAAATCTCGTGTTCTTAATTTGTAGTCTCTCCATCTTGAATCTAACTATATAACGGAATTACCGGAAGGATTCTTTGAGAAGTTAACAAATTTAAAATGGTTGGATTTAAGGAATAATCGATTAACTTTGCTTCCCGCTTCTGTAGGAAAACACAGGTAGTATGAAAGCTTTCTGCAAACAATGTAATCAGCTTATCGATTTTATATTTGAGAAGGATTATTACTATGCGATGAAATATATACTGCTTAAGGTGCACATCGCATGCAAGTTGCCAAATATATCATTGTTAAAAGTTGAAAATTTGGAACTTCAAAATTTTTTTCTGACGGAAAGTTTGTGTCGGCCAATGACATTTTACAAATCTGTCTTTCCGCAGAAAATTTTCTTGAGTGGAAATAGACCTTTGTGGTAACTTATGACATGAATTTCAAGGCTGGGTGGGTTTCGTTCAGGGGCAGACCATTAGAAAAGTGATCGGAGGGGTTGGGGGGAGGGGTGAATTTTCAGCTTGCACAAATCTTTTTTGCATCTGCTGGTGCTGGAATTTTTTTGTGGAATTTTCGAAGTATTTCTCTTTGTTGTTGTTTTCCTTTTTGCACATTTTTTGGAACCCCCCCCCCCATCACATTTCTAATGGTCCGTCCAGGCTTAAAATTAATAAATTGAAAATGGCAAGTTTGACGTACTAAATTTAATTGGCAAATTGAATTATGTACATCACCCACATTTTGCACTAAAGGTGCTTATTAGTCCAGTTAGTCTACATGGAGGTCAACATTATTGAAAAAAATAACTTTGTTAAATATTATCTTTCAGGAGCCTCCGTAGTTTGTTGTTGGAAGGCAATTCTCTGACACATTTACCATGTGAATTAGGTAATTTATACCGGCTATTAAAAAACCCAGATTAATATTTAAACAGGCCATCAACAAATAGATTTTGCCTAGCAATCACTGTCTGGTTAATTAAAGTTAGAGTTAAGTGGCTCATTTTGTAAGAATATGGGGCTTCTTGGGTTCCTTCTCTTGTCCAAATATGCATGGTAAATCATTGAAATTGCCAGGTAGCTGTGTCATGCTGCTCCAGAAGTTCCCTAAATCCCCATAATTACATATATTCATGGATAAACTATGTGAGACTATATTCTAGGAATGACAAGATCACTTTGTGGCCTCAGTTTATCTGGAAATCCTCTGGAATTTCCCCCTCCGCACATTGTTCAGAAAGGAACACAGGTAATCTATGTACAGTATGTGCATCATCAAGAAGATGTACTGTATTTAAATTCAACCAGCTGGCTTATTATACTGCATTGAGCACCAGGTGAGTGCTCTCCCCTTGGAAAGTAAAATATTGTCCGGTATTAATACAGTAGGGTGCATTGGGGCAGTACAGTGCGACTTGTGCGACTTAATCAGTTAACCACATGATTACAGTATTGCCACTCAGTTCTTAGTGATATACTGTAATTAAAAGTGATGATTATTGTCAATTTTGTTAACTGACAGTTTGTCCATGTCTTCCAACTTATATCTGACTTCTAATGGTACTAAAGACAAGGATAATAAACCTTTGCGAACCCTAAAGTTAACCTAAATTGGCAAATTGACAGTTATTGAATTTGAAATTACTGATTGTTGAGTTGTTGATACAATTGGTTATGATAATCAACATTTCTAGCACCCAGAAAATGTGCAGATAATCCAGGGGCATATATGTGGGAAATATTTGCTGTACTTGCATAAGGATAGAATACAATGTTTATTTCAATATATCAATAATAATTAAGTCATCGTCCTCTGTATTTTGTATTTTTTTCCAGGAAATTTTAAAGTATTTACGAGAAATGTGTGATAATTCTGCTTGGAATAATGGTAAGGTTACTTATATGTGCTGTACATATAATTAACATTTATATAATTATGAAAAAGGTTTTGCATCAAATGAACAAAGTGAGTGTGGGAAGACAAGTGAATAATTACCAAATTTTTTGGACAGCGCTATGCTCCTAGTACCCTATAAGCTACTGTAAGGATATTCAGTGATAACCTATGATGATCAGGCCTATAAATATATAAATAGACCTGATACAAACCTTAACAAAAGTCCATGCATTACAACCATATTTCGGTTGTAAATCTGATTGGTCTATGAAACAAAAGATTTTTTAATATGTCATTTGATTGGTTGGTGCTAATTAGATTATACTATTGTTGATGATATATTTTATAGTGATCACATCTATAGTTAGATTGTTGTTTTCGTTGTGTGAAATTTAAATTTCTCCTGCAAATTTTAATTGGATACTGAAGATAATATACTTTGCTTGTGTCAGGCTATATTTTGTAAAATAGAGCCTGATCTCAGGTTAATTCAGTGACTAATTCTAAATATTAAACAGCTAGTATAAGGTCTACACTTAGACACTAGCATGTTATTTGATATGTACTATATTGGGCGTTCCTTAGGATGGTATAATAATATTAACTCCCTTGTTGCTGTATTCATATAATCGTATCCAGAATGTTTTAAATTAATTATTCTCTCAATTCAGATGTAAAATCTCCACAAGCTCAAAGTGATGAAGAATCTGAAGACACAGATTTTACATCAAGTGAGTTTTTGGCAACAGCCTTAATATATAAACATGTTAGAACATAGTTTGAGCCTTTGAGGTGTTTTAAAATTGCTTTTAAATTAAGAACCTCCTTGTGTATGGTACACGACTATCCATAAAGACAATAATTCAATGTGAAAGTTATGGTCATTCATTTTAATAAAAACTAAGATTACCACTTTCCAACAACGAAAGGTGCATGTAAATCCCCCATAATATTATTTTGCGAGGTGTTCGCCTTTTATGCTATATATTATGCGATTTTTATGCTAATTTCTTTTGTGAACATTTTCAGCTCACAAATTATTAACCTTAAGTTTAAATGACAATGCGTCCTATAGCGCTCGACTTTTATATTAGTATACTCCGTCTAAGATCAGTCGGATCGAACTTTGTGCAAACCCCGGAGAATATTCTTAAACTATATTCGTCGGTATATAATACTTCAATATGGTTTAGTACGATCAGAATCAAATAACCTTGATCCTTGCAACGAGAATGGAATGAAGAAAAAAAATTGTATTTTATAAGATTTTAATATTATTATTATATGCAATTGGAAAAGTTAAAAAACCGTTTTAGTTGCAGTTACTTGATTGGCATTTCAATAAAAAGTCCACACCATCACATGTTGAGTGTTTTTATCGAACTGTAATTTTAATTTCTTCGTTCCATTCTCGTCTTGCAGGTGTAGAATTTCCGGACACAGAACACCTAAGCGCAGGCCAATCTTCGGGATCAGATCTCTCCAGTCTTGGAGAAAACCCAAGAAAAATATCATCATTCAAACTGCCGCCAATCGTACGCAAAGCCACGACTGTGCGACGAAGTAATTCCGAACGAGAGGTCGTTAAAGGACAGACGGTGAAGCAATTTGAGCCGACACGACGTTCAACATGGGAGTCGATTATGACGTCGTTGAGTGATGCGCGTGTACCGTTGCCGTGGAAACGACGCGGAAAACAAAACGAGATTCAGAAAGCACAAGAGCCCGAGGAAGCGATGAGTCGAGATGAAAAACCAGCTCAGAATTCAAAGAAGACTAAGTCAAAGAAATTATCAAAAAAAGGAAAGAAATTGGCGAGAGATAAGATTGAAAACTTACCGCCATTATCAACATCTGAGCCTGCCAACATTACTGCACGGAACAATGACGTCGAAGATAATGAGCATGCGTCAATGCCACATGTTGAAAATATCCAGAATGAAGAAAACTTGAAAGATGAAAATGATAACATTTCTGACAACAATGAGGATACAAACACTCCTGAAACTGCTTTAATAAATCTCGCTGTTGGAGACTTCATAGCCCTAAAAGTTCCAGAGAAACACTTTATTAAGGGCCAGCCATGTGTTGGGAAGGTAGTCGCGGAAACTGACGAACGACATGACGTTCTTGTGCATTATTACACCGGGACATACGATGGAACATTTCGACCAATGATGAGCAGAACTAGTCCATATCTTAGAAAAGTTGCAATTAAAAATGTGTTGTGTAAATTTGAGATGAAATCAGATGGTAGTTTGTCACCTACAACTGCCATACGAATACGACAGATGATTGAGAGAGCTTCGTTCTGAGTTAGAACATACAGTAAAGATTACTTCAACATCATATCTTATAGAAAAGTTGTGATTGAAAACGTTTTGTGCAAATTTGATATGAAATCAGATGGTGTAGTTTGTCACCTGTACAACTGCCTGGATTCTTAAGAATGCGACAGATGTTGAGAGAACTTCGTTCTGAGTTTGAACATAAAAAAATACTTCCAAATATCTCAGAAGAGTTGCAATTGAAAATGTTTTGTGCAAATATGAGATGCAGTGTGATGGATATTCTAGTGTAGAACTGCCATTGAAGAATACTGCAGATGCTTAAGAGAACTTCATCCAAAACTAATTGAAGAGATAACTTCAAAATAATATCTTAGAAGAGTTGAGAATGCTTTATGTAAACATATAAGATGCAGTCCACGGCATTTTCTCCCTTTTGTGCAAATATGAGATGTGTTGGGATGGACGTTTGTCATTCAGAACACCTCGTCGGGAGTTAAAAGTAAAGATATCTTCGAAGTATCTTAGAATAGAAAAGTTGTGATTGAAAATTTTTTTGTAAATTTGTGATGCAATAAGACGGTAGTTTGTCACCTATAAAATTGTCGTAAGAATACGATAGGTGCATGATTGAGAGAACTTCATATACTGAGTTCAAACAAAAATATCTCATATTTTACAGAATATTTTACAGACCATAATAATATTTTCATTTTTTTACATAATTTAGCAAAAATGAATTTGTATCATAGATATAATTTGGTATTCTTTATTTTTGTAATTGTCTACACACGTAAAAACGCACAAGCTGTAACAAACCTGCAGCAGACTTGTAGCAATGCTGTTCCAACAACTTGTCATCATGATGTGTTCGCACTGCTTGTTCTCAGCTTGTTGACAAGTTGTCAACGGCTTGTTGACAACTTGCTACAAGGTTGTTGAGTTCAACAGACTTGTTGCAAGTTGTTCCAACAACTTGTTATCGTCCTGCAATTCAACAACTTGTCAACAAATTGTGAGTGACAACCTTGTAGCAACTTGATAAAATAACAGCATGCATTGTTAGGACTTGTTGACAAGCTTGCTACAAGCCTGTTGCGAACACATCTTGTTGACAAGTTGTGAGATTTTTACGTGTGTACTATAGAATGTACTGTAAGAATGAAGTATATTTTGATTAAATATTTTTACAGAATTACATGTAAAATCTTAGATGTGTAACCAGGATTAGACATAATGAAAAGATGAGACGTTCTCTGGTTAATAAATATATTAACCAGAGAACGTCTCATCTTTTCATTAGAATTACATGTAGTTTGAGAGTTAATAACAATTACCACCATGCAATTACCTGATGCTTGTTCTGAAAAAAGAAGGCTAGTTTACACGGCAGCGTAGACGTAGTACAATTTCTTTGAACATTTTTACACAGTTTGATCTACAGGCACGTATGGGTAATTCCATGGTATAGTGATGACATTTTTTGAAAAAAAAAAGTTGAGAATTTTCATAAGCTATTGGAAACAATTCTGAACTGAAATATGAAGATGTACTTTATATGTAACATGAGTCACATGTATTATGTAGCAATCCTTCTATTGTAATCCAAAATATAAAATTTCTTTGTGTTGGTAGTTTGCCTAACATACAGTCTGTTACTTGATAGACATTGTATGTTTCTCCTTCCTATATAGTTCCCGAAGAAGTTCAAAAGTAGTTAGGATGGTGTTACCTCATGTCACTTTGTCGTAACATGAGTCACACACCAATTTACAGCCAATCGTATCATGTTATAATCAAATGTTTAATTTTTACTGTGAATCAGTAGCTTACCATTACTTGTACCTGCATGCAAAAATGTGACATAAAAAATATATTATAGTTATTACACTGGATCAAAATGACTCTGATAGTTTGGAACATTCAGAATGTAACGTGAGTCACCATGGAATTACCCGTATGTGCCTGAGATGTAAACTTCGATCAAAGATTTTGGTAACGTAAAAGTTTACAATCAGGTGTTTTTTCGAGATGATTCATCACATCAAGATGATGAAGTCTCTGTGATCACAGAAACTTTGATATAGTGTCAACCAGTGTTAAGCCATTTGATTGATTTATTTATTTAGCTTCGCCTATAATTAGACAATCAAACAACACGTATATACCCAACCATTTCTGTCCAACCCCAAAACGCGCAAACTTCAACGCACATGATGCCATGTGTACACTGCGAGCCCTAAACTAATGTAAATTTTGTAGATTTTCTCATTAGTTATTAATCACATTGTTTCATGTCATCTTATTTTTTGACTGGTCAACAGTAATTATCCATCATATATATTTACCACTCCTAGCCCTTGGATTCTTTTTGGGGCCAAAATTGTTTATAATTATTTATAGGTCGCAAAAATGGATTGTTAAAACCTTTGTACACATCACACGACTTTCCCGAACCCAAGAACGCACCGGCGACATTCCACGCTCCTCCGAAGAGAATCGACAAATTACGATACGAGTACGAAAAGTTACGAATATCCTCGTCGGGATCTGACGATACCCTAGGTCGTCCTGTACCTCGGAGAAGAGCGAGCATTGGTGAAGTTCCGGATGCCACTTTAAACAATGCAAGGCGACAGAGAAAGCAGTTAGATTCCTACGCCCCAGCTTCAGCGACGACGTTGAAAGAGGCGAAAGCGTCACGGGAACGAAGATTAAGAAGAGCTGCGTCGTTGAATCAGAAAGAAGCTGTCTTACAACAACGGATAAAGTAAGTGTTTAACATGCAACAGTGTTTATCATGGTACTATTGTACCAATTTCCCAAACCAAGCATGAAAGGGCATATACCTCGGTATCATGATAGGTATCCTGGCATATCGCCCCCATGCAGCCCACTCCCGGCTCGCGCTGCTACTATATAGGGAGTTAACTCGATGCTGACAACGAACAAAGGGTACGGAATACGGTTGAAAGCTTGTTTTCGCATTGCTTTAACAGAGGCAGACAAACTTTACATATCCCCAGAGCATCCTTTTGACCATAACGACCTTGGCTACAGCGTAAAAGTTGTAAAACATTTTTATAAAGAAATTAAAAGATGAAACTTACCAAACACAAAGTCATGCACATGAAACATATTTGGGATAAATTTGTAATGACAAGCATTTCAGTATTTGCATACATAAAACAAAAACTTTTTCAAACTTAGATGGTAGTTCGTCGTCAAAATCTTAAACGCCCTATACTGCCAATTAGTGATGACGACAGCAAAATATGACGTCATGAAGAATTTCGGACTCCCGGGCATTTCAAGATATTCTGTGTTTTTATTTCTAGAAATAAAGTAGTATTAGATGATTGGCAACATGAAACGCGAGCATTGCAGAAACGAAAACAGTATCAAGCTATAAGAAAAGGCATTACGAAAGGTAACTTTGTAAAAAGTTATTATTACGAAAGAATCTATTTTGTTTTGATCTTACCAGCAAGCGATACCATGTCCTGTTGCAAGATAATTATATTTAAACGATTTCCACCATTGTGGTTGTATAGTTGAGTTATACTGTACTGTAGTTTCATCAAAACAATGATGATAAAAACATTTAATTTTAATTTTGGCTTTCTATAAAACTCTGACTTCCGTTCGTAGTATAAATTATTTTTAATTTTAATAATTGATAAAAACATGTTTTAAGTACTATTTAAAAATTTAGCTCAAATACTAGTGTCCGACCTATTTTTCAAAAGTTCAAATTTTCCGTCGATCTACCTGAAACTTGTTGTAGGTGCGCGTCCGTTTCTGAATATTTAAACTTCGCATTCCAAATACTTCATTGTAAAAATATATAATACATATTCTTTTCAACCATCTGTAGTTAAAGTACCTTCGCCTTTTGCGACTGCGGAAACCGAAGACGCAGAAGCGTCCAAAGGAACTCAGAAAAAAGTTCACGAGTACAACAAAAGACTACAGTCTCTGTTGAAAATGAACGACAAAGAACTTGCTAAAAAGTGAGTATAGGCAATATATTTAATTTTTTTGTACGAATGTGGAAGACGGGCATTTTCCTTATGTTTATAAGTAGGTTTTATGTAACTAGTTAAAACATTTATCTGATATATAAACTCGAGCCGAACACATGAGCAGCCGTATTTTATTGTTGCAACATTGCAACTATATAAGCCCTCTAGCAGGAACCGAACCTAAAAAAAGTGTGCGTGTGTGTGCATGGGGGGAGGGGTACATGCCTCCATTGCCCCTCCCCCCCGGTTCCGCGGCCCCTGATTGTTATATTTCATTGCATTGCAAGTGTTAATTGACTTGATATTATGCAGGGTTCTTAAAGATCGTGAACTTGAGACAAGGATCAAGAATCACATCGACAAAATACGAGAACAACGAAGATCATCTCAGACTGTGTCCGATGAAGTGGATGAAGCGCGAAATAATTTAGAATTGGTGAGTATGGAAATCTTCAACATTTTATTGTCTATTTTACTTTACGCACACGTCTTGTTGCGAACCGCGTTTTAAAGGGCATATGACTCGAAAATGGACCATTCCGCAATTAATCAAAATTTTGATCTTAACCAGCCTAAACAAAGTTTCGAAATGTTGTAAAATGCGGATAATATAGCCTTGTGAAGTTTGCAATTTTCAGTCATTTTAGATTACAAACGGGAAGTGGTTACCACTTCTGTGCGTAATACAAAATGACTGAAAATTACAAACTTCGCAAGGCTATATTATCCGCATTTTACAACATTTTGCAACGAAATTTTGGAATGTTACTAATTTTGTGATGCTCTTTCAAACTGTGATGAAATTTTTGTTCAGGCTAGTTAAGATCAAAATTTTGGAAAAGTGGTAACCATTTCCCATTTGTATTATAAAATAACATGTATATAACGCGTATTCTGATTGGTCGAAACCCGTGTTTGGATCAGGCCATCCAAACACGGAAGACTATCGTGTTGTTGTTATTTTATAAAACTATTACTTTATGGTTTCCGTGTTTGGATGGAATGATCCAAACACTTGGGAATGTTGCTCGAGTTAAGAAAAGCGGGCAAAATCACTCGCCTTCGGCTCGTGTTTTCGCTCGCTTTTCTTAACCCTCGCAACATTCCCGCGTGTTTGGATCAGGCCATCCAAACACGGAAACCATAAAGTAATTGTATAATCTAAAATGACTGAAAATTGCAAATTTCGCAAGGGCTATATTTATATCCGCATTTTGCAACATTTCGCAACGAAACTTTGGAATGTTACTAATTTTGTGATGCTCTTTCAAACTGTGATGAAATTTTTGTTTAGGCTAGTTAAGATCAAAATTTTGGAAAAGTGGTAACCATTTCCCATTTGTAATCTAAAATGACTGAAAATTGCAAATTTCGCAAGGCTATATTATCCGCATTTTACAACTACACTTCGCAACGAAACTTTGGAATATTACTAATTTTGTGATGCTCTTTCATGCTATGATGGAATTTTGTCTAGACTTGTTGAGATCCAAATTTTGGTTAATTGGGAAATGGTCCATTGACCCTGTTATTTTTCAGTCTAATTTGAAAGATCATTGAAAACTGTAGAGTGACAGGTTTTGTTTTCTTGCTTCGTTTTGGAGATACAGTATTTCATGCATTTTGTATGATATGAAAAGGACCAACTTTCTACGTCACACATGTATATTGACTTACTTTAAAATGCTATATAATTTTGTCACTATATCAAATAAATTCGCACAAAATGAATGATGGCACGAGATTTGTCCACAACAACACCCATGTAGGTTTTCTACTGATTGTGTTTAGTCGTATTAAAGATATATAGCTTTTAGGGCTAAATCATTATATGTATATGTGAGGTAGAAAGTTGGTCCTTTGCATATCATCATACAAAATGAAATATCTTCAAAACGAAGCAAGAAAACAAAAATCTATCAAAGACGTTACTCTACAGTTTTCAATGATCTTCAGATTGGACAAAAAAATAACAACGTCAATTTTCGAGTCATATGCCCTTTAATAGAGAACTTTAGACACAGAATAGAGACATACAGAAGGTCGACTTCTTGGTTTTGCCTATGATTTTGGCGTAACCTTTGCAATGCTGTCGCCATGGCCCTAGCCAGTGTAATGAGAAGCATTCACCCCCTGAAAAAATTAAAAATGGCGGACGTTCAGTGTTTTACATGCGGCTAAATCGAGGAATGCACATTTGCCCGACGCCATCTTGAAATCATTATTAACTGGAGACATCCATGGTTATCTTATGATAATGATGAATTAGTAAAATGGTTATCCATTAAAGTGCTCCTGTATCCCTTGCCTACATCCGTTGTTTATTTTTATTGTCAGCTGGGAAGAAACACGCGATAAAAAGTTTCTTTATTAAATTGACTAGAGATATTTACGATGAAAAGATGCTGATTTTTATGGCGAATTCAATGGTGTTCTCCAATTTTCCATCCACTCTGTACACAAATTTCTATAGTAGGGCAAAGACTCGAGTTTTAGAGTATTAAAGGGCGAATATCTCGGTTCAGTTTTTGAATGAAAAAGGAAAACTAGGGCTGTTGATACAGATTTTCATGCGAAATCGAAGGGTATTTTCGGAATTTCCATCTACCGTGCACACAACCATGTGCTCACTATACGAAAGTAAATTTGCGTGCCGGAGATGCATACAAATCACTGTGAAAAATATCGATACGCGAAATGCTGTTATTTTGTATTTTCGATCGGTTTATTTTCCTTTATATGAAATCAAAAGCTAAAATAAGTCATTATAATATGATTATTTATGATTTAAAAGCATCAAAAGTGTATTTATTGTGATTTTTGCTGCCGTAAACTAGCTTTATTTATTATAAGTAATAGCATGGCATTCAGGTCGATTAGTGATTAAATGTACCCGAAAGCCGAGAGAGGTTTAGTAAAAGTCCCGAGGCGCGTAGCGCCGAGGGACTTTTACTAAACCTCTGGAGGCTTGAGGGACATTTCATCACTAATCGACCGTAATGCCATGCTATTTCTTTGTAATATCATAGTTGCCGAGGGAATCGCGTGTGGTGTGTTGCCTGTTTTGAATGCTGTTTGATTGTCTTATGATTGTGGTACGAACACTTTTCATATATACGCACGCGCAGAAACACATCTCCGTGTTCATTCGTTTTAGGCATGCGCATAAACGGAATTTTCTCCCACAATTGTAATGTTCAAGATTAGGGAATAAAAGCTGGCAAAGTGATTGTTCGAATGTGTACGGGACGGTGTCGTCAGATACTGTCCATAGTTGTGCCGATGATTTTCGATGAGGTACAGCTCTCCAATCAGAGGTAATGAGGTACGCTTTTGTCTTCTCAATTTCCCTCATCAAGCATGGAAATCCTTTGTTTTCAACTAAATTTACCGGGTAAATTAGTGATTAATCGTACCTCGCAAGACAAAGGATTTCGAGGCAACTATGATATTATATACATAACAATTTAATATTTAGGCATGTGCGAGCGACAGTTATCCAATTAGAATCCAATATTTTCATTTTCCCGGGAATACGTTTGTTTTGATTACATCATTCACGATAGATACTATGACATCATAACTGAGACCCAGGTCATTGCGCATTCCTCGATTTAGCCGCTAGTCAGGGATTTGCGCATTCCAGTGTCATCCTGAGTCCAAATCCTGATTTTTTGTTTCAGGCGCACAAGCTACACGAAGAGTTGGGAGAAAAAAGGGCGATGGAATATCGACTTCGCGCTTTTACTGGAGACGATTTTGTGCTCAACTCTCGGTATTATAAAAACGACAGATAGTATATACGTTGCATTAAATATAGGACTGTGTTTTAAAAGATTGTAAATATGTACAGAGAAGATATCTTTGCATAATAAATAACTTGTTAAACTATACAGAAATTACAGCTAGACGGCGTCAAGTAAACGTAAAGACTTATCTCTTAAATTTTAGTCGAATTTTGGCAATGCCTATAACTTTTGATCATTTGGTTTCTTTGTCAAGGCATTATCCCTAAATTTTTTGTCGAAGGCCAACCTCTTAATTTTTAGTAATTTTTTTTACCAATGGCAATGTTATAAACCTCATACTTTTTAGTCGATTTTTTTTACCGATGCTATTAAATCTTATAATTGTTAGTCGATATTTTACTTAATAAATTGCATTTTTGAAATAAATTAGTTAGCCTATTAGTTATTTCATTTCTGAAATAGAACAAAAAGCAAGGCAATAGCCTAATTAACTTTTCTTCCATTTTTAGTCACTTATTTCATTTTTGAAAAGCGACAAAAAAAGTAAGGCTATAGCCTCAACTTTTCGTCCATTTTTAGCCACTTATTTCATTTTTGAAAGGGGACAAAAAAAGTAAAATGCTATAGCCTTAACTTTTAGACAACTGTTAGCCACCTTTTTCAATTTTGGAAAAGTGCAAAAAAGTAACTAAAGGCTATATATATATATATATATATATATATATATATATATATATATATATATATATATATATATATTTTAGCCACTTTTTCCATTTTTCAAAAAGAGGCAAAAAACAGCAAAAAAGTAAGGCCTTAACTTTTCGTCCGATTTTTAGCCACTTTTTCATTTTTGGAAAACGGGCAAAAAATGGCAAAAAGTAAGACTATAGCCTTAACGTTTCATCCATTTGTAGCTACTTTTTTCGTTTTTGAAAAAGGACCAAAAACCGGCAAAGAAGTAAGGCTATATCATTAACCTTTTCTCCACCTTTAGCCACTTTTTACATATTTGAAAGGGGGCAAAATTATATAAGACTATAGTCTCAACTTTTCGTTCATTTTTAGCCACTTATTTCATTTTTGAAACAGGACCAAAAAACGTCAAAAAAGTAAGGTATATAACCCTAAACCTTTCGTCCATTTTTTGTCAGGCATATTGCAAAAGCCATTTTGTGATTTGAAAATGGTTGAATTTTAATTATACAAGCTAGAGAAAAAAAATAAGGTGAATAAGTTGCGTTAGGCTTCAAACAACGACCAAGTGGTCCTGTGGTAAAGACTACAGGCTGTGTAATGTACAATAGTGGTTCAATCCTACAGAAGTCATTTTGTGATTCGAAAATGGTAGAATTTTAATTAATACACAAGCTAGACAATAAATAACGTGAATAAGTTGCGGTAGGCTTCCAACAACGTGCAAGTAGTTTTGTGGTAAATTTTAGACTACTTGTTGTGTAATGTACCATTGTGCATGGTTCAAATCTAACCGAAGTCATTTTGTGCATGTCGAATATTAATTACATAAGCGAGAGAAAAAAGGTTAAGGTGAATAAGTTGTGGTAGGTTTCCAACAACGAGCAAGTGGTCTAGTGGTAAAGACAACAGGCTGTGTCGTGTACCAGCTGTGGTTCAAGTCCCACAGAAGCCATTTTGCGACTTGAAATATGTCGTATGTATGTTAAATTGTCGTATGTTAAGGGTTCGAACCTAGGGTTCGTAGCATACGACAACAGGTCCAAGTCCACTACACCATCTTGGCTATTGGTTTTTCACCTGTACTTTTTTGAACAGTTGAAAAACCTGTCGCCAAGATGGTGTAGTGGACTCAACCTCGTATGCTTGGAAACCTAGGTTCGTTCCCTGCTAAGGTCAACATTCGTTTCGCTTTTGCACTAAGCAACTTGTTTCGCAATGTTAAGAAATACGATCGCAGCGTTGCCGCCAGGGACGCCGGAACGATAATAGGGCAAAGGGGGCGGACGCACACCAAGGGCACCCCCCCCGCCGTCGCCAAAAAAATTTCGGTCAGTGTACCATTTTAGGGGTCAAAAATTTTTTCCGGACATACAAAAATTTTCCGTGAACCCAAAAACTTTTCCGGATATCTTAAATTTTCGCCATTTCTTCAAAATATTTTTCTAAATTCCAAAAATTTCCCAAAATTTTTATAAATATAAACTATAAATTACCTGAATCTCGTGATTTTCCTACAAAAAGCATCGTTGGAAATGTGATTTATCACGTATTATTTTACAACTAAAAGGGCACTTCTGCCCCCCCTGCCCCCCTAGCAAAAGGCAAGGGGGGCAGCCGCCCCCCCTGCCCCCCCAGTTCCGGCGTCCCTGGTTGCCGCAATCGTGGGAAAAAGTAGAACCTGAGTCTACTTCATGCAATGGTTGTTGCAACGATAATATCGCGAGCCTTGTTGATTGCGAGACATAATACACCTTTCAACATTGCGCTCACCTAAGAGAGTAAAGGGTTAACTAAAACAAAAAGTAACAGCTAACAAGCAACAGCCGCGATGGTCTAGTGGTCTCGGCTTAGCGTCGCATGCGGTGATGTCAGGTTCGGTTCCTGACAAGGACCTTTTGGTCTTTGTCAGGAGTAGAGAAAAAGGATTAGCTATGATAGAAAACACTAAGCTTTCACCAATAGACCTAGTAGTTTAGTGGTACCACTCAAAGCCTTCGGATGCTACGGTGGAAGGATCGAGCCCGGTTAAGACCGGCTGAGACTTAGTGCTCAGGTGATCGATCTGACCAGCCGTATGCGGAGTGAAAAGAAAATTCGGGAGTTCTGTTTCCCCGAAAAAAATGAGAAATAACCCTAAAGTGTCTTGCTCTAAGAGCAAGGCAAAAAGACTTAGTAAATTTTTCCTGCCTTCCCCGGGGAACCTGCCCCTTCTTCCTCCCTGCCTTCCCACCCGCTGTCATATTCTAAGTCCACCGCGCATGCGCCAACTATGGTAAGTACTAAAGATTAATTTCATATATTGGTGGTATTCTCTCCAAACATTTGCCCAGCTGTCATTTTCTTATGTATTCTTTAGCCATCTTTTTTTCTTCATTATTCTTTCATTCGTCCTCAAACCGATCCTGATACACGACATTGGCTTCTAAAGTCCGATATCGTTACCACTACGACCACTTGCTCGTTGTTGGAAGTCTACCGCAAATTATTCACCTCTCTTCAAAGTCACAAACGCCGGGATTATACATTTATATAATCCCCGGGACCTACTGTCTCCAAGTGAGAAAGAAACTACCAGTCAATACCTCAGAGGCCCGTCAAAAATGTATCATCCGACGCCTAAGGATTTGCTGGATGAACAGCCAAATATCTCATGCACTCAGAGAATTTATACAAAAACATATGCTATTTCACTTGTGGGACGTTGAATGATAAAATGCGCATGCTCGTACGCACTAAAGCATTGAAGTGCGCATGTCCAACAACGTCCTACGTCGCACATCTATTGTTTGGGGGAACAACACCTCGCCAATCGTGCTATAAGTCGGTGCAACACCGCGAAAGAAAACGCATAATAAAAATTTTCGAAAACGCATAATAATAACTTTCACGTCTTTTTCGTTTATACAGCTGGAAAAACTTGCTTTTTATGTCCACGAACTGTCTATTTATGGAAGAATGAGGCATCGACAGAAAGCGTATTTAACGTAGATTCCAAAAATGCAATTTTCAGACCGTATCAAATTCTAGTTTTTGACACAAGGGTCCTTGGAAGTCGATAGAACATAATATTCGAAAACGCATAATAATAACTTTCACGTCTTTTTCGCTTACACAGCCGGAAAAACTTGCTTTTTATGTCCAAGAACCTTGTCCTCACTGCCAGGAACCTTCTCCTCACCGCCAGGAACTTTGTCCTCAGCGGCAGCAACCTTGTCCTCAGCGCCAGGTACCTTGTTCTCAACGCCAAGAACCTTGTCCTCAGCGCCAGGAACCTTGTCGTCTGCGGCAGGAATCTTGTCCTCAGCGCCAGGAACCTTGTCCTCACCGCCAGTAACCTTGTCCTCACCGCCAGGAACCTTGTCCTCAGGGCCAGGAACCTTGTCCTCAGCGGCAGGAACGTTGTCCTCAGCGGCAGGAACCTTGTCCTCAGCGCCAGAAACGTTGTCCTCAGCGCCAGGAACCTTTTCCTCAGCGCCAGGTACCTTGTCCTCACCGTCAGGAACCTTGTCCTCACCGCCAGGAACTTTGTCCTCACCGCCAGGAACCTTGTCCTCACCGTCAGGAACCTTGTCCTCACCGCCAGGAACCTTGTCCTCAGCGCCAGAAGCCTTGTCCTCACCGCCAAGAACCTTGTCCTCACCGCCAGGAACATTGTCCTCAGCGCCAGGAACCTTGTCCTCAGCGCCAGGAACGTTGTTCTCACCGCCAAGAATCTTGTCCTCACCGCCAGGAACCTTGTCCTCAGCGGCAGGAACCTTGTCCTCACCGTCAGGAACCTTGTCCTCACCGCCAGGAACCTTGCCCTCACCGCCAGGAACCTTGTCCTCACCGTCAGGAAC